TTCTTTTTAAAACAATTAAATGTAATAGAATTACTTCCGGTATATAAAATTATAAAGTATAAGTATGTATATTACCAGGTCACCTTTTTAAAAAAAATTTATTTTACAAAATATTATTTGAGGAAAAGTCTTTGGCAATGACGGCATAAATATCTAATTCATTTCTCTAATTCAGTAAATTTTTAATTTTTTTTAATATTTTATATATAAACCTAGTAATATATAGTTTCTCATGTATGCACAAAGGACATGGGTCATTTATTGGCTAACATATTTTAGCTTTTCTTATTAGTTTTCTATTTTACTTTAGATGTTTTGTTGGATTCTTTTTAGTGTCAGAAGTACTTTGAAAGATATATTTAGGTTAGAATTCGTTTCATTTTATTTAACTACAATTTTAAAGGATGTTTAGGTTAGAATACGTTTTATTTTACTACAATTTTAAAATATTTTCACTGTTAATTTTTAAAGAGTATATTTCTTTTTAAAACAAGTATATGTAATAGAATTATTTACATTATATAAAATTAATTTTTAATATCAAATATAAGCATGTATATTACCAGGTTGGATTTTTTAATTTTATTTTTAAATATTATTTAAGGAAAATTTTTGACAATGACGGCAAAAAATAGCTATTTCATTTCTCTGATTCAGTAAATTTTTATTTTTTATAAACTTAGTAATATATAGTTTCTCATGTATGCATAAAAAACATGGGTCATTTAATGGCCTACATATTCTAGCTTCTCTTATTAATTTCCATTTTACTGTAGGTGTTTTATTGGATTCTTTTAGGTGCCAGAAGTATTTCGAGAGAGGTGTTTGATTTCTATATCTATTTATCCTAAATGAACTTTGATATTGGTTGAAACGCTTTTTAAATTCATGGCTTGTGCAACCTATATAGATTTTTATATATAGATTTTCAATATAGGTTGCACAAGGAAACGTAATTTTGTAAAAAGCGAACATTGAATTAATTTTTCCCGATTGCAAGTTGAGTTGAGACACCAAGGAAGGTGGAGGAGCTACCCTCACTCATTGAGGAAGTTCAGTGGGAGGTGATAATAAGAGAGAGTGGAAGAAGGGAATTCCACAAAATTATGAATTAAGCTGGCAACAAAGGGGGGATTTACAGAATTCTCGCCGTGGACCACGCCAGTTTGAGCGAACGTCAATAAATACAAAGACGGGAGAGAGACGGCAGAAGTTCGTTCAGCCACCGGTCGTGATACACCCCGCGTGAGTATCTGCTCGAAGAGAACCCCCGACTTCAACCTTGTGCCGAACTTTACCAAAACAGCAGACCAAACTTTACCAAGTCAACCACAATATCACTTCCGATTATTGTACGAAGGAATGATATAAAAACAATATTTACTTTTTGTTCAGTTTATTCGAGTGTTATTTTTTTCCTGTACGTCTTCGCCCCGCTTGGACCAGCCCAACACGAAGATAACCTGTGACGATTCTATCTTTGCCTCCTTATGACAAAACTTAAATCACAACTTGGGATAGGGCAGATCTGAGATCGAAGCGACCAGTCGCTGTGTTGGAAGTCTTGGACGACTCGGAATGGTGTTGGGCGACACATCTAGTCAATTTAACCATGATCTGATTAGATCGTCAATTTAGTACTGCAATTAAATTCATAAAGTCTAGGTACCATGAAAGTATTTAGAGAAAGGACACAGGGAAACTATATAACGCCGGTGGGAAAGTGATTGAAGCCGAGATGCCAGGTCCGGACCAATAATATTACTGATTCTTCTCTGGATTTTATTAAGAATCTCTAAATATATAAAAGGAGAAGCAGGCTATATATGGTAGTAATATTCAAAGCATGAACGAAATATTATTTCCCACCCTGCAACCCATATCCCACAGAAAAAAATAGTTACTTGCCTCTGACTAATCTATTACTATTACTATGGTAAATGTCTAAACGAGCTACATTCGTTGGTTTCACAAGTTCAGACATTAATATCTAGGACCGGCCATACCAATAGTCCCAGTTTTAAATCATCTCCATTCCTTTCGTATTGTTTGGGTAAGGAGTATGTTCCATTTTGAAATCTTCTTCACCAGAATTGCTACTTTGTGGGACAGTCTCGCGAGATGATGCCACCTTGACCAATACAAATCTTAACCACTTCAAATCTATCACCAAATCGATGTCTATCCTAAATATCCTCATAATATTCACTTCGTACTTCATCCTTCCCCATTCTCCACGTCGTTACGTGAATCTCACAAAGTTATGCTCTGCATTGAGTGGTTCTTAGGACTTGCATTGGGCAAACTAAAGTAAAAAAAAAATTCTGTTAGTAAAGCCAGGGGCTTCGAGAAATAAAACTCTCCCCCAGTTAGTATGCATCACACTTGGCCGCTCGAGTGATTCTTAGCGACCAGCGGACACCGAACAGTTTTAGGGGTAGACGTCGCGAAGAGATATCTCGTCAGCCATTTCTGAAAATGAAATTTCTCGCGAGATATCTCGTCAGCCATTTCTCCAGTGGCCTGTGCTGATCAAAGAAGTCTTCCGATCTCAGTGTCGGACTTTTCATCCTCTGTTAAAATACTTCGCAGATATTTAAATTGTTCTACTTATTTGAGTTTGGCATCTCTAATTTGGGATTTGCATGTTGGACTGTTCCTTTTACTAACAACCATGCATTCCATCTTCTTGCAATTGATGTTTAGTCCTTTCTTCTTGCTTTCCTTTACTATCTTGTGTAATAGTTTTTGTAGTTTCCTTCCAGTGCCTGCTATCAACAGTGTCATCTGCTTATCTTATGTTGCTAAAATTGTAGCCGTCATATTTTTGTTCACAATTCTAAAATTGAAATGAATATATTCTACTCGCATTTAATAAAAATTCAGGGAATATTTTTGTATTTCTTGGTCTTCTTACAGGTGATTTATTTCTGAAAAAGAAATGTTATGAAGAGTTTATATGAATATTAATGATCCTTCTCAAAACTATAGAAAATACAAAAGTATTCTTAATTTGTGTGAATATTTATAACTTATCAAGGAACGTGACTCAGTTATTCTCATATAACCTTCCTCTTTTTTTATACAACTTCATAGCATATCTCCTTTCAAGATTTTTACCGGGTAGCATATGTTGAAATAACTTTTTAATACTCAAAATCCTATATCGCCCGCTAAAATTTTCAATCGTCTAATCTTCTGTTCAGTTTCTCATCGCCCACCCAACGTCTGAAATCGCCCGCTGGTGGGCGATATCGCCCAGATTGGGAAACTCTGATATCGCCGATTCAAATCATTACAATCCGTGCAATTTTAGTGATCCCATATTATTTACATTATTCGGACTATTGTGCTCATCTTTGTCGCCATATTTATTACAACGTTTCGGACGCTGTACGCTCCGGCCTTCTTCAGGTGGTTGGAATGTCGAACTGAACCCTTTATTTCGCACACTGGAGTAGACTGGTCTAGTTCCACGTGCCATGTCTAATGGATGTCAGTTATCTCCTGTTAATTCTCCTCTGAAAGTTCTCCACTGCTTTAACCAGGTATTGAACTCACACTCTTTGGGTCCTGTCACTGGATCTAACCAACGCCTTTATCCACGCTGATATACACTCCAGTGTTTTTTTTTTCTAATAAATAAATAAATTCCCACCCTATCAAAATCAATTCCGGCCAAATACTCGTTAATACATTCAATTTTTCTCACTTGCTTGCCTATCTATTATTTAGAGATCATCCCAGGGATATCAGTATAATCTTTGTTGATATGTTTTAAAAAAGATTAAACTTTTCTTCGAATTATAAATTTAAGGATATCGTTGAATCGATTGGTTGGAATGGTGTGCTCGCGACTAAAGCAAATATATAAAGAAATAAACAAAATAATTAATTCGATAGTTAAAGAATTCATCTTAAACAAGAATGATGCGATCAGTAGTCCAGAAAACCTTTTGGAATTATAATGATAGTAATGTAAAATAAAATGAATTATATCAACAGCCCTAAACATCTCTTGCAATAAAAATGACTTACATAAAATTTTACAAGGTACCTTAAATAAAAAGAATGTGATCAGTGACTCGGAGAAACTCTTGTAATTATAATGACTTACATCAAATTATTAGAATTTATCTTAAAAAAAAAAGAATCAATAGTCAGAACAGATTTCGCAAGGAAAATGACTTTTATCAAATTTTACAAGATATCTTAAATAAATAAAACAAAAATTAAATAAAAAGAATACAATCAGTATTTCGGAAAACCTCTTAAAATTATTAGAGTGAATTATTAGAATGTATGTTAAATAAAAAGAATCATATCAATAGTCCGAATATTTCTTGCAATGAAAATGACTTATATCAAATTTTACAAGAAAGACCTATTCCAAAGTATTAGGATAGAGGAGGAGGAATTCTTTGGTAACACAGAAAAAAGTAGTGAACTGCTACGTAATATCTGTTTTCCTTTACGACAGCGAACGTTGGACAGTGGAGTCAAAGATGAAGAAGAGACTCGAGACAATCGAGGTATGGTTCAACAGAAGGATGCTAAGGATATCATGGACCAAGCGTGTGAGCAACGATAAGGTTTTGGAGAGGATGAAAACAAGGAGGAAGCTTATACTTAACACTAGGAAGAGGCAGCTGAAATTTCTGGTAAACGTAATGAGAAAGGAGGGCAAGGAGAATCTGATACTCACAGGTTGGAATAGAGGGAAAGAGAGACAAGAGAAAGCAACGCGTGACATACCTAGTGCGCTTAAGCAAGTGGATATAAGAACTGGGTCTAGGGTGAGTAGCAAATGGACAAAACTTATTGAGAGCTACAAGGGATAGGGGGGAGTGGAAAGCCATGATCGCCTACGTCCTGAAGGGACACGGCATATGAAATGAAAGTCCTGAAAAAAACTCATAACAACATTACGGAAGTTAAGCAAAAAGAACGCGATCAATATTTGGAATGATAATATGCATGTCTTCTCAGAATTGCCGAAA